GCACACCGGGCTGTTCATGGCAAGGTCAAAAGTTAGGACTCGTTGGCCAGCCTGCTAGATGAGACTTTTTGTTCCCGTAAAGACTGACAACCTTGGAACCCACTGGGCAGTTCAGTTCTATTTTGCCCTATAGGGTCACTATTGAGTTGAAATCGATTTGGCAGCAATGAGGGTTGGGTTTTTTTGTTTGTTTTTTCTGTGTGTTTTTTTTCTCCCAATGGGCAAAATATTGAAAGACGCGGGAAGCATCCAGTGACAGAAAACAGCCCACTTCTTCAATTGTAAGGCGACCTGTTTCCTGATTGAAGCGTACTTTGCATATTCAATCTTTGCTCCACTTTTTGGGTAGAGGATGATGGAATATCCAGAGTCTCTGGACCCAAAAGAATTGGTCAGCACCAAGCAATTTCAAGCTGGAGTAAATAATTAAGAACCAATTGTATTGAGGAAGAAGTCCAAGGTGCACCGAAGGCATTGGATCCGGGATCCAATGAAAAACGAGTGAGATGTCTTAATAAAAGGATGCAAGACCGGAAGCAGTCAGTCATCGATGCCAAGAAGTGTGGCAGACAGCTGTCCAACCGGGTTGGCAGAGATCTTATTAGTGCCCATTCCAAAGAAGGGTAACCCGACAGCACGTGGAAATGACGGAACAGTGCCCTGGAGATCACATGCAACCAGCATTTGCTAAACTGAGACATGGTTGCAGCCGTGCAGCAACAGGAAGTGCCCCATTCAAGCCAGGCGTAGGAGACATTGCCAGTGTCAGATGAATCTCGGTCGAAAACAGAGAACACGTGTAAAACATTCAAATGTGTAGATCATAACCGAGGTGGAAGGGAAATTACAGAACACTTCACTGTACTCATGCACAACCTGCCATTTGAACAGAACAAGGGAATAGCGCGCGATCTGGAATCAGGATTGTAGCCTCTCTTTTTCAATGTGTAGGCTGAACGAATCACCTCAGAAGCTGGACTATATGAAGAAGCACATGACTGGAGGGATGGGGAAAGGTCTTGTTCACACCTGCGATGTGCAGAGGACACAACCTTGCTGATAAAGGCCAAAGGCTGCAGCCTTCAGTGTGGATGACAACTCTAACAAATTATCAAACCAAAATCTTCACAGTTGGATGGATAGACAGCATTACGATAAATGGAGAAAAGATGGAAGCGGCAAGGTTTCATCTGTTTGGATCCACGATCAACATCCGAGGAAAAAGCAGTCAGAAGGTAAACACTGCATTACACTGGGAGGGTCTGCTCCACAAGGCCTCATTAAAGGGTAAAAGAACAGAGATCCCGAGGACGAAGATGTGCCCGACCATGGCCTTGTCAATCGCCTCATGTGAAAGTTGAGCAACAAGGAAAAAAGAGTGGAGAAAAATCAATTAATTTGAACTACCGTATTGGTGAAAAATATTCACTATTATTAACAATTCCAAGACTGTTCATTCTCTGGCAACCCACTGGAGAAGAAGAATCTGTCTTAGAAGCGAGGATGATGAGACTTTGTCTCACCAACTTTGGACATGTTATCAGGAAGGACGGACCAGTCCCTGGAGGTGAAACTTTACACTTGGTCGCGGGTCTGCATAAGACAAGCGCTTCAGAGAAGCACACTGACAAAGGTCGGAGCCTGTAACAATAGGCTCCACAGAAACCACCACGAGGAAGGTGCAGGCCTGGGTAATGCTTCACCATGTCGTCACATTATACAGATCTCTGAGTCAGAACTGACTCCACGGGCCCTAACAACAAAAAGTCTTGTGCTTAAAGTCCTTGAGTGGTGCAAAGGGCTTGCACTGGGCTGCTAATCTAAAGGTTGGTGGTTTGAACCCACCAGAGGTACCATGAAAGGGCATCCCGGAGATTGGCCTCCATATGGAAAACCTATGGAGTTCTACTCTCTAACGCATAGGTTACCAAGACTCAAACACACAGGCAATGGGCAGTCTTGAACTTATGTCAGGTGACTTTCATGCCTATAAACAATCAAACCTCAACCAAAGCACATCCTCTCATATTCTTTCTGAGCATCATTCCCCACCCCCAACCCATGGCCCCAAGACATAGCAAAGCAGGCACATGCTGAAACCAGGCCAGGGACACGTGATTCCATCACACACCCGCCTAACAAAGACAGAAACCTCTGCTCTCCCAGATTGCTTTTTCTCTAGAAGGAAAAGTTTATTGCAGGTTGGGTACACGTATAGAAGGCAAATCTAACAGGGAGGATGAACTACAGGGCCCACTGGTTTAGAAGATGGGCAGGTAAAACAAATATGCTGCTTATGTACAGTTAGTAAAAAGGGGAAGGGATGGGGAAGGAAAAACTGCCAGCAGCCTTCCAGAAGGTTAGTCACAGAGGATGCCCTGCGGCTCCAACCCCGCAGTCCTGACTGCATCCCTTGGTCTTCGTTTCCAGCCTCTGTTCCAGGACAAAAAAACCGGTTGCGTCAGGGGGCCCGGGGTTTTTTCCCTTTTTTTGGCTGTTGTTTTGGGGGGGGGCCCCGGCCGGGCCGGGGGGCCCCTTGCCCCAGGCTTTTCTTTGGGGACCCCGGGGGGCAGTTTTTGTTTTCCCCACAACGGGGAGCACTGGGGAAACACGCATCGTCCAGGGAAGAAGCAGATCGTTGGCTGCGGTCCCTGCACAAATAAATATCCAGTGTTGTCTTCTAGTGGGGGTGGTGCCCCAGGCCTCTGGAAGCACTGGGGTCGGGGGTCAGTGTCTCACGGCCTGTCTGTCTGTCCCCCTTAGGTGCTCACTGCTTGATCAGAAGGTCAGCCCCTTTCCACACCCTCGGCACAAGGCGGTGCCACTTCTCTGGCCACCCGCCAAGGGGCAAACGCCATTGCAAGTTGTTGGTAGGGGCAAAGGGAGTGCTCGCGGCGGACTTCAAGAAGGGAGAGGTCTGGATCCGTCCCGAGTGTGCCTACAGAAACGCAGCTGCTGCGAGGCAAAAGGCGCACGCATTCACGTGCCGGGAGGCTGCAGAGGGTCCCCTCGGCGGAGAACTGCCGAGCAGTGAACACCAGGGCCGCTCCAAGGCCCTCAGCGCGGGGCCGAGTCGCAGTC